AAAAAAAAAAAAAAAGAAAAGAAAAACCAGTCTCCGGCCACCAGTGTCCCCAAAGGCGCCTTCCCCATCGGAGGCTTCTAGGAGCTGGTACCTGTCCCAAACGTGTGTGATCTGACGTGCATTCAAACAAGAAGACGGAAAGCTCCAAGGTGAGAGGCTGAAGCCCTCACTTTACTCCTGAGATTACGCCTTTTGGGTGTTAGACATCTTTTGGAAGCAAAGGTCTCTGGAGATGGTGAGGTCGTCCTTGAGTCCAAGCATGGCTAACCTCTTTATACGAAAAAATTAAAAGTTGGCCCCTCCGTGTTGGTCTCTAGCATTTGTTGTGAATGAGTGTGATTCAGTTTGGGGTTCTCAGCCTCTGGCCTATGTTCTCCCCAGGTAGCTCCTGGCCCCCTAGTTCCCTTGGGCTTAGGGCTTGGGAGGCCTGTGGAGGGTAGACAGAGGTGTGCCACACCCTGGGGACCATAGGAGGCTGGTGTTGGGGGGCAGGACTAGGGCCAGGGTCTTGAGATCTGTAAATAGTCAATCTCCCTGGAATGCAAGAAGGCTGCTGGTTGGAGAGATCTGGGGAGGAGGTCCGTCCCTTCCTTCCTTTCCACAAGAAACAATGGCTTGTACTCCCCACAGGGAAAGGGAATAGTGAGGCTGCCCCTGATGGACCCCACAGGGATCCTCAGACCTGCAGCCACTTCTTTCCTGCCCCCACCAAAACCCTTGACCCCTGTCTTGCAGCCCCCACAGTTTCCTGTTTGTCCATTCTATTTGCCCAGCCCCTGGGACAAAGCTGATCCTTGAACTCTCAGTTCCACATCGCCAGAGCCAGTGAGCAGTGACAGGGCTGTCTGGGCTTATCAGCCTTGCAGCCCAGCCCCTGCCTAGAGACATAAAAAGGCCAGGGGAGGGCTGGATGCTCAGGGACCGGCTCAGGGACTTGCCTAAGAGCTCCGAAGAGGTAAGTGCTGCTCCCTGCCCCAGGCTGCCCTCATTGTCCCCAGCACTGGGAAACTGATGTTGGGCTCTGCCCAGCCAGAGATCTGGGCTCCTGGGCCCCTGCCCCACTCTAGGCCCCCCCTCCTCCCTGGCTGGAAGGTGTGGGGAGCATGGAGCTCTTCATGCTAGAGGCACCCCTTAGCCAAACCCTCTCCTCCAGGTCACCCGCGCCCTGCAGGATGAAAGCCGTGGTGCTGGCCGTGGCTGTGCTCTTCCTGACTGGTAGGTGCCTCTGCCTAGGAACCTAACCACCAGGGGCCCTCCCCCTTCCCCCCCGCTGGCCCATCCTGCTGGGTACAGGGAGCGCCTGTCTCCTAGTCTCAGACTCCAGCAGAGAGCTGGTCTGACCTGGGTCTCCTCCCCAGCCCCAGGGAGCCAGGCTCGGCACTTCTGGCAGCGAGATGATCCCCAGACCTCATGGGATCGTGTGAGGGATTTCGCCACTGTGTATGTGGATGCGGTCAAAGAGAGCGGCAGAGACTACGTGGCCCAGCTGGAAGCCTCCTTGGGGAAACACCTGAAGTAAGGACCTAAGCCAGGCCCTGGGGCAGGGGAAGGACCAGGAGGCAGAAAGATAGCCAGGCTGGCCAAATCTGCTGCTGCTGAATGTGTGGGCTCTGCAGCAGGTGTGGATGGAGATGCAGGGATGGGCTCCTCCGGCAGGCTCCTAGGCCCTACAGGAGTCAGCAAGCGGGGCTCCATAGCATGGTGCTGCACCTCCCTGGGCTGGCTGGCTGCAGGGAGAAGGGAGTGTCCTCCTAGGGTGGGCACCAGCCCCACTCTGGCTCCATCCAGCTCCTCACTGTGCTTAGGCCATCTGTACAGTGTGACAAAGGGTGGGAATGTAAGGAAAGCCAGGAACACAGCTGCTGTACACCTGGCACAGGTGCTGCCAGGGCCAGGAGACCCCAGGCCATGCAAGGTGGCTGGGAGGCTGCTCCTCAGCCACCTTCTCTCCCACTCCAGCCTGAAGCTCTTGGACAACTGGGACACCTTGAGTACCACCTTCAGTAAGCTGCGTTCAGAGCTTGGCCCGGTGACCCAGGAGTTCTGGGACAACCTGGAGAAAGACACAGAGTGGCTGAGGCAGGAGATGAACAAGGATCTGGTGGAGGTGAAGGAGAAGGTGCAGCCCTACCTGAAAAACTTCCAAGAGAAGGTACAGCTAGAGTTGGAGCACTACCGCAAGAAAGTGGAACCACTGGGCACTGATCTGCGCGACGGTGCTCGCCAGAAGCTGCAGGAGCTGCAGGAGAAGTTGACCCCACTGGGCGAGGACCTCCGCGACCGTGCTCGCCAGCACGTGGATGAGCTGCGCGCGCAGCTTGGGCCCTACAGCGACCAAATGCGCCAGCGCCTGACCCAGCGGCTCGAGGCGCTCAAGGATAGCGCCAGCCTTGCCGAGTACCAGGCCAAGGCCCAGGAGCACCTGAAAACGTTCAGCGAGAAGGCCAAGCCCGCGCTGGAGGACCTTCGGCTGGGCCTGCTGCCCGTGCTGGAGAGCTTGAAGGCCAGCTTCCTGAGCTCCATCGACGAGGTCTCCAAGAAGCTCTCGGCCCAGTGAGGCGCCCTCTACCGCCACCACCTCCTGCCTCTCCCAGCGTTCATTTTCTTAGAATAAACGTTTCCAAAGTGGGAAACAGCTTCTTTCTTTGGGGGGAAATGGAAGCAGGGTGTGGAGCATGGTAGATGATAGGCCAGGGATGGGGTGGGTCAGGCTCAGGCCTTTGTCCGTGATGGAGGCCCCACAGGGCACCTGGCTGGTTAGCAGCAGGGAGCAGACCCCCTTGCCCCAGGGTGGCTTAGAGAGAAAGGAGGTAACAGGGCAGCACAGTGACTCATCCCCCAGTGCCATGTGCCCTGCAGAGGTGCAAGCCCTAACTGTGCCAACCCGTGGGAGCCAGGCAGTGCGGTGTCCACCTGGGCATAAGACAGGAGCTTCCCCCCACTTCCTGGCCCCAGGCTAGATGCAGTGAGCCTCCAGGAGCCCCTAGAACTTTTTTAAAAAATTATTTTATTGAGAAACAAATATCAGTGAGACCGTTTCAAAACTGATCAATAGGAGCCCCTAGAATTTGAAGGATTTGGGCAGATACAAATGACAAGCTACTCCCCATGGCTAAACAGGCACAGTTTGGGAAGCCAGTCCTGTGCCCATATGGCTTCAGGCACTGCCACCCGGCTTTGCCAGCTCCGGCCCAAGTCAGAAACGTCAGCACCGCCTCGTGGGGTATGTGGCACACTTCCGTTTCCCAGATGACTTGGTGGTCATCATCTCATCCTTCCAGAAATCGGAGTCGATCGTCCTTAGATCCAGATCCCCGTGGTGAAGCAGAGCTTAGAGGCGTGAAGTCACTGCTGAGTGGCAGGCAAGAGGGCTGGGCTGCTCACCTGAGCCCCACCTGCCCATGGGCAGCTCTCTCTCTCTCTCTCTCTCTCTCTCTCTCTCTCTCTCTGTGTCTCTCTCTCTCTCCAAAAGTATTGCTGTGTAATTCACGCTGGCCTTGAGTTCACCATATAGCCCAGGCTGACTTTGAACTTGTGGCGGTCCTCCTGCCTCAGCCTCCCAAGTGCTGGGATTACAGGTGTGCATAGCCATGCTGGGCCTATGATTTTTATTTTATTTTTTATTAACAGAATATATTTATTGAGGAAAAAAAGGTTCTGTCTGAGAGAGGGACAGAAGGGGACCACCAGTGGGTTGCCATGGAACATGTGTTTTCTAGGGATTTTTTTTTTTTTTTTTTAAGACAGTCTTGCTAGGGGCTGGAGAGATGGCTCAGTGGTCTAAAGCACCTACTTGAAACAAGCTTGGCAAAGCACAGGGACCGCGGTTCGATCCCCAGC